CACACACACACACACACATGTGCACACACGCACACAGGGAAGTATCTGCACTGACAGCACTTTTATTCCAGCGGGAGGAGGCAGACAGTAAACAAAATAAGAGAGTAAGTTACACGATATGTTAGAAGGTACTAAGTGTCAGAGAAAAATTAAGCGAGGTTATACTGGGGGAGGGAGATGTAATTTTGAACAGAGTTGTCAAAGGCATCGTTGAAAAGATGACATGTAAGTAAAGACTTGAGACCTTGGAGGGAGCAAGCTGCATGTAAAGGGGAGAACCATCCCAGGCAGAGGGATAGCAATGCCAAGGCTGGGGGTTCCCTATCTCTTCAAAGCTGCCTGACATTAAGGCAGACGGCAGGGGCTAAGGAAACATCACCACCTTCCAGTAGAGCAGAAGGGCTGAGCATCTCCGGTCATACCATTCTCAGTTTGATGGACCAGGCTGGTTTGCCTGACAAAAGCTGCAAAGGATAAGAATGTCACCCTGGACCAGGGACTGATAGTCATCATCATTCAGACCTGTTGGTTCTAGCACAGGATGGAAGCACAGATACTTTGGCTCAAATTCCAGTCGTCATTTTGGCACTGACCCATTTTCAGTAGATCAACAGCCTCTCAGAAAAAAAAGCTTAGTAACTCTAAGGGGGAAAGAGAAAGGGTACATTAAGATTCAAGGGGGAAAAAAACTTCACATTGTCTGTTTTCAGCTAAATTCTTTGCTCCAGCAAATAGAGTAATTTGACCATATTTATGTATTTGTAATCCATTGTAAAGAGTTTGGCTTTTACTCTTAGTGAGATGGAAACTCATTGAGAAAAGACATGATCTTATTTATAATAAAAAATTATTATGGTAAAATATACCAAAAAATTACCATTTTAACCATTTAAAAATATTATAGTTCAGTGACGTTAAGTACATTCACATTGTTGTGCAACCAGCACAATTCTCCATTTCCAGACCTTTTTCATCATCCCACAGTGTAACTCAGTACCCATTAAACAGTAACTCATTTCTCTCTTTTCCTAACCCCTGGTAACCACCATTCCACTTTCTGTCTCCATGAATTTGATTACTCTAGGTACCTCATGTAAGTGGAATCATACAGTATTTACCCTTTTGTGCCTGACTTATTTCACTTAGCATAATGGCTTCCACATTTATCTGTGTGGTAGCGTGTATCAGAATTTCATTCCTTTTTAAGGCTGAATTATATTCCATATATATGTATATACCATATTTTGTTTATCCATTCACCCATTGATGGGCATTTGGGTTGATTCCACCTTCTGGCTGTTGTGAATAAGGCTGCTCTGAACATGGGTGTACACATACCTGCTCGCAAATTCCTGCTTTCAGTTCCTTTGGGTATATGCTCAGAAATGGCATCACTAGATCAAATGATAATGGATTACTAGATCAAAAATGTTGAATTTTGGGGGGAACTGCCATACTGTTTTCCACAGCAGCTGTAGCATTTTCATTCCCACCAACTGTGCACAAGGGTTCCAATTTCTCCACATTCTCACCGGCACATGTTTTCTGGCTTTTTTTGAAAACAGCCATCCTAATGGGTGTAAAGTGGTCTTATTGTGGTTTCGTGTTTGCATTTCTCTAGTGGTTAGTGATGCTGAGTACCTCCTCAGTTGCCTTACATTTTTAAACTGTCACTCTGGCTGCTGTGTTGAAATTCTCAACTGTGGGGTGAAGTGAAGGGTAGGGGACAAATGGGAAGGAGGAAGGCCAGTCAGAAGGCTATTGCAGTAGAAGAGGTATATGATGACGGTGGCTTGGGACAAGATGACAGCAGTGGAAGTAGTAAGAATTCATGGGATTCTGGAATTGAAGCGAGAGCTGCTAAGATTGAAAGAGGAGCATGAGAAAGGAGCACAGGATGACTCCTCTGTTTATGGCTGTGTAAACGGCCATTTAGTGAGAGCGGGGAACGGCCAGGCAGGAGGATGCTGGGAAGGTGCGGTGTTAAGAGTCCGATTTTGGACACGTTAAGTTTGGTTGCCTATTAGACTTCCAAGAGGAGATGTCAGTTTGACAGTAGATATGGGAGTTTGGAGATCAAGAGTATTTCGGTTATCTTTCACTGCATAATAAACTAGCCTAAAACTTAGGGGTTTAAAACAGCAACAGTTTATTTCTTACAATTCTGCGGGTTGACTGGATCAGCTGGGCAGTTCTGCTCTGCTCTGCATGGCAGCTGTTGGGATCACTCACTTGGCTGCATTCTGTCGTGGGCTGGGCGGGAAGGTCCAAGGTGGCTTCAGTCTCATGCCTGGCACCTCAGTGCTCCAGCATATGGCTTCTCCGGGTGGTTAGCTTGGGCTTCCTTGCGGCACGTGGTCACGGGGAGTCAGGCTTCTTACATAGTGTCTGGTTTCTCCAGAAAGCACAAGAACAGAAGCTATCAGGCTTCATGAAGGCTAGGTCCAGACTGACACAGCGCCACTCCTGCCATATCCTATTTGTCAAAACATGTCACAGGGCCAGCACATGTACCAGTGGAGGGGAAACAGACTCCACTTTTTGATGAGAACAGTGGCATTTGCCTATAGAGAAATGGGAGGATTTGATGGCAGCCATCTTTGGAGACTAACTACCACAAAGACAGATCAGGGCTGATGCTTTAAGTGATTTAATCAGAAGGCTGTACTTAAAGCCATAGTACTGGATGAAAATTACCCAGGGAGTGACTGTAGAGAGAAAAGAGATAGAAAGGCTGACCTCTAGGGTTTTCCAACATTTTGCGTTTAGAAGGAAAAGCCAGCAAATGAGACTGAAAAGAAACAACCAGAAAAGTAAGAGGAACACCAGGAGCATGCGGTGTGGCTGAAGTCAGATGCAGATAGCATTTCAAAAAAGAGGGAGCCATATGTTGTGGAAAATGCTGCTGAGAGTTCAGGACCAGGGATGAAGACTGACAACTGGATTTGGCTAAGTGGAGATGACTAGTGGTTTTGCAAGAATAATTTCAGTGAATGTGCAGAGATAGAAACTTGATTAGGGTGAGTTCCAGAGACAATAAGTGAAGAGAAATTGAAGACAGTTGGCATAGACAACTCTTTGGGAGAATTATACAAGGGAGCAGAGAAATGGGGCGGTAAATAATACAATGTAGATCAATGGAAGACAAATGTAGAAACCGACCTTCAAAAGAAATGTGAACCATTCACCTATGACAGCAGGAAGGCAGAGTGTATCATAGGGTCACAGATGCAGGGAAGGTGGCTCCACGTGGTAGTGGGAGGTGCCGTAGGAACAAATGCAGTCCAGCGGTGAAGGGACAGCTAGTTCAGTCTTGAACAAAACATCAGATCATTGGGCTGTTTTTAAAAAGGTGCACGTTTATAGGCAAAAAGCATGCTTCTATGGAGGACTGGAATGAAAAGAGATAACTGACAATGTGGAATCTCAGAGTTTGTGGCTGCAGAACTGGACGCAGAACTTGGGAGGAAGAGGGAAATCTGATTCCAGGTTTGGGGAATGGCTAAAGGGTGGGGACAAGATAACCATATTTTGTCTATCCGTTCACCCACTGATGGACATTTGGGTTGATTCCACCTTCTGGCTGTTGTGAATAAGGCTGCTCTGAACACGGGTGTACACATACCTGTTCGCAAATTCCTGCTTTCAGTTCCTTTGGGTATATGCTCAGAAATGGCATTACTACATCTAATGATAATGGATTACTAACCCGTTGCTGAGACAGTCTGCACATTGGCTGTATTGGGCAATGGTCACGCCCAGTTAAAATCTGAGTACTGTTGGGAAGGAGGAAGGAAGAATTAATGCTGAGTAGGTTACTAAGAATATCCGCTAATCCACTGAGCTGTTGTGAAGATTAAATGTATTCTGTGCAAGGATGCTTTGCTTTTCCTTTCTTAAAAGGTTCCTGGAGGTAGAGATACAGAAGAAATCTGTGGGAGAGAAGAAAAGCGGTTAAGGGTGGGAGGTGAGGAAACAGAAATTTGGGTTAAGGATCCAAGAACTATGTGGAGGAGCCGGCAGAGGAAGACAGGGCTGGAGCCAAGGCACGGATGTAAACAGAACACTCCTGTCTGAATTCTCAATAGAAATTAAAAGCAGTAATTCTTCTGGTGCCTTGCAAGTTCTCCTTTCCCAAGTGCTGATTAGGGCCTACCTGACTGTGCTCAAAAACGTTCAGTAGTTCCCAGCTTTATATCAGGCACAAGGTATCTGCCTCATCCTGAAGTTCCAGATTGTCTAGAATATGAGTCCAGCCTATGTTTGGCCTCATTTCTCATTATTGCCATATACAGTTGTATCCAAATCTGTCCATACAAGTCCAACCAAATCGGACTTTTGGCTGCTTCACAATGGCCCCTGCATCCGCTCTCCTCCCTGCCTTTGTGCAAATTTTTCCCTTGCTCTGCATGTTGCTCTCCTATCTTTCCTGGCTGAAATCTCTCATCTGGAAAGCCAAAGTCAAATGCTTGTTCTCTGATGTAGCCTTCCCTGGTCCTTCCATGCTCATGTGCTTATTCCCTCCTCCCGAAGTTGCACCCAGGACTAGCTGCTGGTGTGCTGTTAGTATTAGCTATGAGTGTCGCTTGCTCTAGACTCTCAGATTCTTGAAGACAGTGAAATTCTCCTCCTCTATCTGGGTTCATTCTTTGTTTGCTCATTAAAAAATCTGTGGGTGTCTACTGTGTACTGGTCACTGTGCACACAGAGGTGAGGAAGAAAAGCACTCAGTGAATACTGGTTGAGCTTAATGCTGTTGAAATGGGACTCGTGCTGGCTGATGGGAACCCGACAGCATTCATGGGGCTGAAATGCGCTAACAAACTGACATCCTCCCCATCCATCTTCTCTTCTAAGTGTAACCATATTTGCCAAAACCCTGGCCTCAGTGGGTCTTTAATGCACATAAAGGCTGAGCTTCTGTTGTCAAAGGGAAGCAAAGAACTCAGACACTGAGACAGCTTATAGATTGTTCAGGGAAAAAAAATCTGCCTTTGAAGTTATTGAGTCATTTCAGTTTTTATTCGAGTCATACAAAGCACTATCATCTGTATTGAAAGCAGTGGCTTTCAAAACTTTTTTTGCCATGATTCATAGTAGAAACAAAAAATACCCTTTACATCACGATCCAAGTCATATTCATTCATTCACTCGTCCCTTCAGTAAGAAGTACTATCTACTATATGCCAAATACTGTTCTAAGCAGAATAAAGTAGTACACAGGAAGGAAGGTGGGGAAGAAGAGAAAGAAAAACCTTCGCCTTCGGAGTTCTTACCTGCTGGTGGAACATGCGATAAACAAAATAAGTAAAACGCACAAACAAACAGTAAAACAAGACTCATGAAACAAAACACCCTGTTACTACATGCCATACACTCTAATGTTCTCTATTTTATTTAAAAAAAAAAAAAAGCAGGTCACACCCCATTCAGTTGGCCTCTCAACCTGGTAATGTATTGAGGCCTGCACTTTGAAAAATACTGGTGTACACAACTGATGCAGTAGGCGGAGTGTGTACCATTCCCGTTTTACAGATGAGACAGGGTGACGCGTAAAGAGTGTAAGTGGGTTAGCCAAACACACCCCCAGTCCGAGGGAACTTCACCTCAGGGCTCTGGGTCCACTGCTGCTTTCCACTAGCCTCTGCCGTCCTCACAACGCCTCAGTCCCTACTTCCTGGCTCTTCTCCACCGTGACCTCTTTAAGAGCAGGTCTTACTCACCCCCCCACCCCCGCCCTGCCGCAAAGCACAGTGCTTTACAGAGTATGTATTAATAAATACATATGAATTGAACTGAATTTGTAAGTGATTCACAGGAGAGGGGTGGAGGAAGTGCTTACTAGCTGGGACTGTAGGACTGAGGCAACATCAATTTAAAAGACAAAGAGAGCAGAAAAAGATACCATTGGAAAAAAGATCTCTTTCCCGAGGTTATAAAAGTCACACGTTTGGTAGAGGCTTCAATAGTATAAAAACGATACAATCCAAAAATTGTATCTCCCTAGCATCAGTAGACAGATTTAGAATGATGCCAGTAGCTCAAGGATCTCACAGAACAGTAAGTTGATCAAATTAATTACAGAAAACAGGGACCACTATAAGGGGGACCAAGGAGAGCTGGATGGACCTGAGACCGGGCAGAGGCAAAGGCTCCCCTGGTGCTCCTAGCAGGAGGAGAAAGGGTACCTTGGCTGTAATGGTGACCATGACAATGGGGGACAGCTGCCAGCTCACCCAGATGAAGAAAGCCAGTTCAAATTCTCAACAGAAAGAACCTAAATGGAGCAGCCATATCTGGAATTGTCCACTCCTGCTTCATATAGTTTAGGGGCTTTGTGGTTGGTACAAATATCTAGGTTAGAAGGGAGAAGAAACTCTTGAAAAGGAAGATGAACTTTTTCTAATTATTGACCCAAACTGGAATTTCAAGTTTAAATTTCATCCTACCACCAGAGATGGGGACTTATGGCCAGGATGAGGTCAGTTATAAAAAAAATAATACATCTCTGATATAGTATAAAACATAATTTCAATCCTATTAAAAGTAAAAAAAAAAAAAGTCAGTGTTAGCTAACTGACCTCTAAGTTTCAGGGACCTACAAATCTATGAATTTATATATAATGAAAACTGAATTCTCCAACCCATGGTTTTCAGACTTTATTTTGAATTAGTGACACTAATTCCACAGGACTAGGGTTAATTGTGGGGACTGCATATTTAAACAAGCACCCTGGATTCTGTTAAAGCTGTATCGTGTTGAGAAACCTGCTTAACCTAACTCCTTCTTCCTTAAAGTAACTAAAAAGGGGCTCAACTTGCATGTTTTTAATTAGAGTAAAAATGGGCAGTAGAACTGCAGGTACACCGTTTATGTCATAAAACTAAGCGCGTGTACAAATTTTAAGACTATATTTCTTACTGCTTTTAATAGCATTCAATCACATAATTTATAGTGGCATAGGTTTATAAAAGATGTTTAAGGCTAGTTGGTAATTTAGTCTTATCTTGGGTTTTCTTTTAAAATTGAAATTGAGAATAGGGGAACTAGTTTCGAGTTAAAGGATATTTCGGGATGATACACTGACTATAAATTCAAAAGGTACAAAAAAAAGGTACACTGATTATCAGTTCTATAAACAGCAAATGTGAATGTAACCTATTTAAGCCTATTGATTCACATTTTTAAAAAAAGCACCCTCATTTCTTTATAGTTGAGTACTTTAAATGGTTCTTGAAAGTCTACTGTAGACATGATATACTCAGGCCAACTAGTTGGGGGCTGGGGGTGAGTTTATGTGACCCCGTCCAATTCAGAGTCTGATTCAGAGTTAAAAATCAAACTGCATTACACAAAAGTTACAGTCATGGTAGCGTGATCAGTTCCTCAGATAATACAGCTTCCAAAGCTCTCATTGTCCCGGTTACCCTCCTTTTTTGCTTTCACTTACACATGTCTTTCTTTTCAAGAAACAAAACATATCAAAGTCCACTAAGATTCTGAAAGTCACAGTCTGCATAGCACTGAACGGTGGGAGCTTTGGCGTCTGATATTACAGAGTCACTTTCGTTACAAATATTTTCTTCATTCTGGGTCAAGGCGAGGTAAAACAGGAAGAATAAGATTCCCAAAGGCAGAGTCTTGAGTTATGAAGTATCCAGATGAATGTGCGTGTGCGTGCTGGGAAAGAGTTAAAAAAAAAAGAAGGAAAAAAAAGGCAATTAAGCTTTCAGAGTCACAATTCTCCAATCAAAGCATTAACATTACTCACCCTTTCTGAGTGCTTGAGGCCAAATTTTGTTTTAAAAATCAGTTCTTATGCTGTTAATTTTGTTGAAATACACAGGAGATGGACAACAATAAAGAATCCATATTAACAAGTTGTATCAGGTACTAATTTATCATCCCCACTCTCTCCTCTGTGACTCTCTTCAGTCAATAACTGAGTCAAAGACATGAATTACTTTGTTCCCTGGAGTGGGGAGGAAAGCTAGCAACAAAGGTCCCAAAGTACTCTGCTCTTGATCAGCAAAGCAGGAGCTTGAGAAAGAGGGCGGGAGTTGGAAGAAGGGGAAAGGCAGCTGATTACTGGTGATTAAGACACCAACATTTTGTAGAGAATGTTGGAATATAAATAACAGAAAACCACCAGTGACTTCCCTTTGTCACTAAACAAAGGAGGACTATTTATAGGTTGTCTAAAGTGACATGATCTTTAACGTGCCTTCCAACTCTGAGATTCTGAGGTTTAAAAGCATAGGTAATGATGTCTTGTCCGAGGTCTCTGGGAATCTTAGTTAAATATCCAAGATCAATGTAATACTAAAAGTGTTTATCACTATAAGAACAATTTTTTTAAACTGATGGATTATCACATTCTTATGGTAAGAGTTGTCTTTAAACACTTCCTGCACAACAGTCATGCTGACCATTAAAAAAAGAATCCAAACAACAATAAAGAACTGGTAAGACTATCAAAAGACATAATGGCATGATAAATTTGAAAAAATACAGAAGTAGTATTAAACTAGCCAGTTCAGCTTTCAAGATCATTCTGTCCATCCAAATACCCTAAACTGTTCTGTACACAAGCAATCCCTTGCCAAGTACAGCACAGAATCAATCATGACTGCGTCAGCACCATAAAAGATACTTTCATTACTGCTGTATTGGTCCTTCAAATCCTTTGGGCATGACCGAATGTCAGCAAACCACTGCAATTATGTGTGGAACATTTTTATTGATACTGCTCCCACTGAAATACAAAGTAAGAACTATGCTGGTTTCCAAGCCCCAGGAAATCTCCCATGAGACAAGAATGTCAGTTACACTTTGCTCACCTGCAAAGCTGCCTTCTGCTGGGCTGCAATATGCTGCTGCTCGGCATGGTCCCGGAAGTCCTTGTTAAGAGAGGGTCTTGAGAGTGCGATGCTAAAATGGGAATCTTGGTTACTTGACTGTTTAGAGACTCCCTTCTTCTGAATCACATTTTTCATTATTTGTTCTTTATAGAGATTAAAAAAAAAAAAGACCTTCCAGAATAAGTCTTTTTTCCTTTTCCCACTGTCAATATTAATTTATATGAAGATAGCCTATGTTATTTACTAAGGCTTCAAATTATCTCCTTTTTATTGATGATTTATGGTCCCCTACTTTCAAACAGATTTGAGGTACTCTGGTCTATCATCAAGTTACATTTATGACAAAAACTAAAGAGACGAATGTTTTAAGCAGAAGGAAGAGTATGTGAGAAGGCCTGGGGCAGAAGAGCTTGATGTGTGTGAAGAAATTAAGAGTTCAGGAGGACTGGAGGTCAGGGTTGGGGAGGAGAGAAGTGGGCTGGCAAAAAATGAGGCGAGGGAGGAAGGCAGGTACTAGGACATGTAGAGCCTTGTGAAGTATGAAATACATTAAGAAACGCAGACCTTATCCTAACAGTAGAGGGAGACTTCCAAAGAGTGTTACAAGCAGAAGAGGGACACGATCAGGAATATCCCACCACGGTTCTGAAAGACCACCGCTATAGCAGCCAGTGCTGTCACCTCCCTAACAATTGTCCCTCTCCCTTCTCCTTTGCTAGCGGAACCCAAACTTAGTTATCGATGGTCCCAGGCTTCAGGGTAAGCCAGGCTCTCCCCCAGGGGGTGAACGTTGATTAGCAGAAGACAATACCATTCTCCTTGCTAGTTTCCTATTTAGGCAAGAGAAGGGTTCACAATTCTGGGCAACTAGACTTCACAGGTCTGCTAGGAGGTTCTGAGACCATTTTCCTCAAAAGGACATAGGATAGGAACCTTTTTGGCTTTTACTTCTACAAGTGGTTCAGTGTAGAGGCGATGCCTAGGCTACTGCAGTCCTGTTTTGTCCAGTAGGGAGGTGCTGAGCCTTGGAGAGAGGTAGAAAGGAAAGACGAAAGGAAGTGGGGTCACTGCTGACACTGTTGTGCCACGCAGTAAGCCCCTCTGCAAGTGCCTTATCTTCACGCTCTGCTTAACATGTATCCTAACGTTTATGCCAACTTTCTGGTTTTCTGTTACTTGCAGATGAAGACATCCTAACTGACGCAACTGATAAATGTATTTGAAACAATTTAAGACTACAGGAAAATTCAGTGAGGAAGTAGTAATTGAGGCAAAAAAATGAGTGGCCAGGACCAGGGCAGCATCAGTAGCAATGACAAAAAATGGACAAGTTTGAGACACATTCAAAATATAAACATAAGAGAATGATAAATGCTTAGAGATGCAAGCGAAAGGGAATAATAAACAATTAAAGTGCACATTTCTGACTGATTACTAGTAGATCTGTACCACTCATGGGGACAAGCAACCCAAGAATATTAAGTAGTTAGAGAGAGAAGGAAGGTAAGTTTAGTGTGGGATACTCTAAGTTTGCAGTGCCTTTAGGGCATCCAAATGGAGATGTCTAGGAGGCAGTTTAGTGCCTGAGAGAGGACTAGGCTAGAGATGCAAATGTATAAAAGTTATCAGCACATAAATAACAGGTTGTGAAAGTGGATGCAACTGTTCAGGGAAAGGATGCAGACTGGGAAACTGGGTCTAGAACAGAACTCTGAGGAACATCAACATTTAAGAGACAGGCAGTGGAGATATGTTGGAAAAAGAAACTGATGTTGAGTGAATGGAAGCCAAAGAAAGAAAGCCTTTTAAGGAGGGACTGTATACAATGGAGTATTACTCAGCCATCAAAAAAGAAAGCTTGCCATTTGCAACAACAAACACCATATGATCTCACTTATAGGTGGAATCTAAAAACCAAAACAAACAAAACAAAATGAAAACAGACTCATAGACAGAACAAATGGGTGGATGCCAGAGGGGAAGCAGGCGAGGATGGGAGAAATAGGTGAAGGGGATTAAGAGGCATAAACTTTCAGCTAGAAGATAAATAAGCCACAGGAATGTAATACACAGCATAGGAATATGATCAATAATACTGTAATAACTTTGCATGGGGACAGATGGTTACTAGACATTGTGTAGATAATTTCATAATGTATGCACATGTCAAATCACTATGTAGTACACTTGAAACTAACATAATATTGTGCAGCAACTATATTTCTATATTTTTTTTTTAAAAGGAGGGGACAATCAGTAATGTCAAATAATGCTAAGAAAAGGGCGTTGGTCCATCAGATTTAGCCGTAAGGAGGCTGCAAGTAACCAAGGCTTGAACCTATTCTTTGCGGTGGGGAGGCCTGGAAACCAGATTATAGTGGGTCAAGGAGTAAATGAGTAAGAAAGCAGAGATGAGTATATATGGACAACTCCATTAAGAGGTCTGGCTGAAAAAGAGGGGAAAGTCAGGATGGTGGCTGAACAGGATAATGGATGTCAGGGAAGAGATTTAAGATGGCAGAAACTGAACACAAAGATCTTTAAGCTACCCAAATTTTACCTGTTTTGCAGAATGCTTAAAAAGTAGGACATTAACAATAATTTCAGTAACAAAAACCATAGATAATTCTTTTCTTTTTTTTGAAAATAGGCTGTAGGGAAAATTAAATATTCTGATTAGAATTTAAAAATTTAAAATCTAATCAATTAAATAATCTAATTTTTTCAAATCCAACTAGGAAATAAAACATAACATGTAAATTCCAATGTTAAAAAAAAACAAACCATTGCCAACCAATTTCAGTTATTTTGTCCAAGATATTTTTTATATCACTGAATATAAAAACCACATTATTCTTTAATACCTAGCTCCAGGATGATTTGTTGAAGATTGGTTCTGCATTAGTAATTTTCTTTTCTCTTTGTCCAGTTCTGCCAAGATTGCAACTCTATTTTTGTTTTGAAAACCTAAAAAAAGAGAGGGGGTGGGGGATAAGAAAGAGAAATAAAACATTTTAGAGCTATTTTATAAACCTAGGCTACCTAGAAACCCAGGAAGCAAAATTCTGTTCTCTATCAAGATAATGAAGTTACTAGCAAGTAGTTTCCCTAGATGGTTACTGTTTCCCTACTGCCTAGTTTCCAGCAACTTTAACAGCATGATACACAGATAAATGCAAAGTATAATACTGACTGAGGACTTCTAAGGCTTAGTTCTAAAGAATTTTAATCACCAAAGAATGGGTAACAGCATTTGGCTTTTAACAAAATCTCTGCAGCCTCAAATGCTGCAGGGGCCAATCTCTATCCTGCCCAGGCAATCTCGGAGAGTTTCTTAGTTCTCCATTTTAGGCCTCTTTGTGAATGCCTCTTTCATGGGGGAAGAAGGTGGTGGGGTGAGGGATAGGGAGCATTAAATATACTCAGGTCAAAACAATATTCCTTTTTTTTTTTTAAACTGCTTTCATTCAGAAATGACACACCGTCTTTAAGGAACAAGTCAAAGAACTGCAACTGACTAGAAAATAATTCTGAGAGAGAAATGGAGCATAACTGACAGGTAACAAACACATATGTCCCTTACCAAATACTGAATTCTAGGTTTGATTTTGAGCTCCAATCTTAAAAAAAGATCTCAAGCAGAGGTTCAAAGTCCTGGCCCAGGAGCAGCATCCAACTATATATTTAAAATGTGAATTAAATGCCAACATGTAAACACTGAGAGCATGTATACAAAATTCTCAGGTTACTTGCTTCTCCTGAAACATCTCAAGATCTGGCAACAGGGGTCTGGATGTCCCCATGGCAACAATTAAGAACAAAGAAACAGTTGTTCCCTTTAGCTGGGCACTCTCCAGCCTGTTAAAACCTTATCAGATTTGTTTATACCTGCAGGCATTTTAATTTCTGATCCCTAATTTAGAAGAAAACAAATGCAAAAGTTAAAGGATTAGGAAAGAACTATGGGGGCAAAAAAAAAAAAAAAAAAGCCAGGGACTAGAGTCACTGGGCCAGCATCACTGTGCTGAAGATAATGAAGATGGCAGGAAGGCGGGAGCATTCTTCAAGCAGAGCAGACCTAAGCAGTCCTAAGGGTACTCATGTGAGGGATTCTAAGCATTTTATATTGATTATAAGGGAGAATTGGGTGGTAGGATGCATATTTCCTGGGAAGAGGGGCAGAGATTGGTCAGGAGCAGTGCAGGATGTACAAGAAACAAGGAGTATTCACACTCAGACTGGGCTCAACTAGAAGCAGTGGGTCTTAGAGCATTTTCATCTAAGCCTGCTCGGAAATCTGGCCTCAGTATACTGACTGTGGCCAGGATTCTGGGCAAAACGTGTCTCCCCACACCCATTTTAGGAATTTATCATCTCCATTTTCCTTCTCTGCACACTCATGCTTACGCTATCAAGCTGTCATCAAATTTCTAGTAATAGGAGATTCCTTCTTTCTGGATCAGATAATTCACAAGAATACATTCTGGTACTTGTGAGAAGATTGTTTTGCAAGCCTTCCAGGTGATTCTTCAACTATTCTAATCCTAAAACCTCCTTCTGGGGAAGAAGTTCTGCCTTTACAAGCCACGTAGCATTACCTGCTCCACACAACCTTACAGACAGGAGTGTCGCAGGAGAAGTCTACTACCTAAGAAAGGATTTCATACAGAATTTCCAAGAATGTACAATATTTAAGCCTGTGAATGCTAATGCTATGGTGAAGGGTGCCATATGTAAAAATAATCGAAACTTGGACAAAATACTATTAAAAAACACCACTAGCAACATAATAGAAAATGTCAGGTCCAATGATTTAGAGAATCAGAAACAACAACTATCTGGCAGGGGTGGAGAAATGAGGGCAGAGAGAAGTATTCCCCACCCAACCCCCCAGCATTTGATATGCAACTGTATATTTCAGTGTTAATATTATATACATTTTCAATGTATGTAAGCTTGCACAAATTATTTTTAAATGTCTATGATCTGATTGGTAATATTAAAAATTATAATCTCATGAAAATATTGTTTCCAAAGCACATGGGAGTGAGGTGGCACCAGAAAGAGGAAATAAGAGATACAAAAAGTTCACATTACAAATAAAATGGAATATATGTATGTGTATGTGTGTGTATATATGTGTGTGTGTGTGTGTATATATGTATATGTGTGTGTGTATATGTATATGTGTGTGTGTGTATATGTATATGTGTGTGTGTGTGTGTGTGTGTGTGTGTGTGTGTGTATAAAAACAGGGACATTCTGCTGTATACCAGAAATTGACACACTGTAACTATAATTTTTAAAAAGTAAAATCAGCATTTAAAAAAAACTTACTAGTTAAACACTAAATTCAAAGGGTAATTTTTAAAGTAATAAAAATGTATAAACATTAAAGAATATGATGTAACTGTAATTCAGCAAATGATTTGCAACTAAAACACCAAGCTGGTGTGTGTTAGGGTGGTTGGACTAAGCACTGTATAATTTTTTTTAAAAGGAAGAAAACTTTGAGTTTGATAAAACTATTTCAAGATACAGCAATCTATTCAATTGTTCTGGCTCTGTTTAACATTTCAGAGCTGTATTGAAGTTTAAATGAAAATTATCCTCTCCCTCCCCTTATTTTACTAAGTTTGCCAAATAGTCAAAAGGGATGAGTGGAGGCATTTCCAGCAGAGGGAGCTTCACGAAGAAAGATACATATCAATGAAATAAACAGTGTTAATGGTGAGTGAAATCTTATAATGAAGAAAATACTAAGATTTAAAAAGATGCAGTAATATTAAGATAAAACTGGGCTACTGTCATTAACATATGCCCTTAAAAGAACATGTTTCACTGTTCTGTCACTTCAGTGACAAGCAACTGTACCTTTGTGATTATCAACTTCATGTGGAACAAATTTTGGTCTCAGATACTATCCTCCACTAAAAAGAACCAGAGTTGTAGGGAGAGTATTAGTTCCATGTCTTAGTGTAGAAAAAAAAAAAAATCAAGGTGGGCTTGGAATACCTTGTTATCAGAAAGCAAGATTTTTTTTTAAGGACCAAGGTACTACTGAAAAAACAAAGATACCAGCTTGAGGTTAGCCAAGCTGTCACAACTGGAACATTAAAAAGAGAATAATAATTATAACTAAATGGAACAAACTAAATATGTGATAAGCCATGAATTCATAATAAGATACAAAAAAGAAAGTTAAAATACATAAAAATATTGTAAAGAGAGGTGAAAATATAGTTTTTATGTTAATAATCAGGTTAGTGTTAACATTTAGGTGTTCTGTTTGTCCTAGTAAGTATATGTCTGTTTGTAAAATATAGCTGTGTACTTTTTTATTTAGTTACAGGAGGAAGGGAACTGTGAATAAGCCAAATAATTCCAGAAAAAGCACACTACGTACCAAGAACAGTAGGGTGAGGTCATTGCCAGTCCTGACACATGTACGACATCTGAAAGGGGACCCAGTGGTCAGTGAGCACCCGTGGTCACACACAATGACCAAGTAGAGACTGTGAATTCTGAGTGGGTGAATCAGCGAAATACCCTAAAGAGCTAACGGTATAGACCTGATCCCTCATCTCTTGGGAGATGAAATGTCCATAATTCCGGGCAGGAATGCTACCAGAAAAGAGCAGTTCATAAATGACAACAGAACAGTGGGTTATAACACACTAAGCACATTAAAGAAAAAAAGTTATTTCATTCAGGGAATAACTGTGGGTTGCAAGAAACTAAAAATCTATAAGAAAGGTACAAGTTAAAAAAAAATCCCATTAACTTAGCAGGTAAAGTTTTACAGAAGTAACCCAGTGCACACCAACATAGCTTTTAAATCTTCTTTAAAGGCATAACCAAATCTTATGCTTTACCTAAGAATCATATCCATCAATAAATCTAAACCCTGACTAATCTGAAGTTTTGTTTTGTTTTGGTAGTGTTAAGACTATCATAACCGTAAGAAGGTATAGAAAAATTACTATAATCCTGGGAAGGTACAGAAATAAGAATCTGGAAAGATTATTATAATTTCAGGAACAGTTTTAAAAAAAATACGACAGATAGAGTAAGAGTTAATTAAACCCATAGGTTAATATTTTAAAATAAGCTTACGTGTAGTAAGTTTTGCAATCACTATATAAAGTGAAGTATTATAGAAGTCATATTAATTGTAATTTAAACTGTTATTAAAGAGAATAACTAAATAAGCTTGTAATCAATTCTAAATGTTAAAAAAAATTATTTTAGAACTTAGTTTTGTAAGTAGGTTTAAAAACCTGAGTATTAATTATGAACAGTGATGAGTATTTTTCTCCATGCACAAAATCCCTTCAGACATTAAAAAACTTGTTAAAATAGTTAAACAAGAAGTCATTAGACAGGGATGGCTCACAGCCTTCCTCCCCTGGTAAAGATGGGATGCCTCTCTCTGCATCTCACTTAATGCCTCATGCCCCCACCCGGAAGCCTGAGTGTTATCTGTATAACACCTCCTTCCTACCCACATTCAACTGGTCACCTAGTCCAACCAATTTTATTTCTTAAATGTCTCTAAAATAACTTCCCCTCTCAGCTCCTTTTCCACAGTGTAACCAGGCAAGGTTATCTCCTGCATAACATTCTAGAGCTTAATGTCTACATACAGGCAGCCGAGAGCCACAGAAACTACTTTACAGGGAAAGGGTACGGTCAGGTCCATTAGATTTTTACTTTCTGATCTTGTCTAATGTGCTCCCTTCTTGAGCTTCCACAAATAATCTTGTATTAATTTACATGTCAGTTTTGCACAAAATACTATCTTACAAATATATATAAGTCAACGGATAGCACTTAAGTAATAATGATAGCTTATTTCAAATTTGAAACTTAAGTCACAAACTAGGTAGTCTATCTGGTTATCTGAAGTAAAGTTAAATTTTCTAGAGTAAGATTCTCCCACCTTCAGGATTTATACAAACTTACTC